AACTCAATCCTACAAGCATACTTGGAATTAAAAAAAAATAGACGTCGATTTCCCCGAAGTTTGTACAACGATACAACAGAAAAATTCTCATGAGAAATGAAAGTTGAAAAAACATTTCATAAAAAAAAAAAATCCTTCATATTTATAAATTATCATTCCAATGTTTGTACAATTCTAAAATTTTCAATTTAATTTGATAAGTTCCCGTCTAAATATGAGTTTTTTCTTCCAACTACATCTATTTGTTCAAGATGGAATAAAAGTCTGGACGAGTTTATGAAATATTTTAATTAGACTTTCATTCTACTATAACAAATATCATCTTATTTAGATTGGATTAACCTATTTATGACTGAAAATCCTTACTTAGAATGACAATCCAATTAAAATATTTCATGAACTCATTCATTCCATCTCTAGCATAAAGTTCAAATAAGAAGGGATACCCCATTCTTGGAAGGAAAATTTTCAAGTAAGACGAAAAATTTTAAAATTGGAATGACATTTTTTAAGATGGAATAAAAATTTGAAATTTAGAATGTAATTTTACTCTATAATGATTATTTAATTCTGGAAAATTTTTCTGTTGTACACAAAAAATACAGAAAACTTAGTTAAAAAAAATGCCTGTTATAGTTCAAATCATGAAAAAGTTTAACAATGAGTTATAAAATGGAAAAGTAAGAGAGTCCACACAAGGGAAAGGAAAAAAAAAGAAAAAAGGAGAATTCGTCCCACAGTATTGGCAGAATTGTGTACCCACCACGACTTCAATGCAAGAAGGGTCCGGGATGACAATCCTTAAAGCCTCTGTCACGATTAACCACATCACAACTCGTAAAAAGGGTAGACTTACTTTTTAGAGAGGGGTAAGGAAACACAGGGGAAGACACACTAATGAATATGTGCAGATGAGAGGAGGGAGGATTCTAAGGAATGAGTTAGTTAAAATCAGAGATAGGAAGACAATGCATCCTAAGGCCATATGTTGCCCGCCATGTCTGGCGCTCTTCGACAAACTGGGAAGGGTCGGAGGCGAGATGTATGTCTGAAGAGAGACATGAGAGAGAGAGAGAGAGAGAGAGAGAGAAAGAGCGAGAAGTGGTGAGGGTCATGCATCAAGGATTCAATTGTTCACTTAATATAGCAGTTTTAAGAAACGAAATTCATTACAAATAATTTTGCGAAAATAACCTTTAGCCAAAGATGAAAATAAATGAAAAAATTGACTTGGAAAGTCAAAACAGTGTTGTAAACTTTTGAATAGTGATAATTAATCAGACTACTATTAATTAAATATTATTCATTAAAGATACTAAGGTTAGCTAGGAGAATCGTTAAATATAGGTTAGCCTGCTATTCACTCCACTGTTTAGGCGAGGTTACCGTGCCTCTCAAAGGCGGCTATGCAAACTACAAAACCAAACCAAATATTGGAATAAAATAGGATCTCCTCCTCCTGCAAGATAAAAAAGTGGTACATAATTTTCTACCAGTTAAACCACCAGTACCTCCGAGCCCGTTTTGCCGACCTCGAATGTCACTGCACACCGCATTTTGTTGAACCTAGGTCCCGTTTTTCCCAACATTGAGAAAGATAGTGGTGGTTTAATAACATTATGATAGTAATAACCTTGGAAGTGACAATAAAAACAAAAAGTTATACTTAGCACAAAAAATGCAAATGCACGGGCACAATGTTGACTGTTACTGTGGCTTCACAACCTATTTTATTTGGTGATAACAGGGCATGCAATAAACTCGTGCATCTCATAACTACCAAATTAGTCATATACATCTATGTGCCTGATTTTCGATTCAACGAGGGTTTCACGTTGAATTATTCAATGCTCCTTAAATTCACGTCGAATCCCGTTAAAACGTGCGTTAGAGGCGAATAAACGGGTTCCGTGAGTTGCGATTTCACGGGTTTGGGGGCAGATTTTTGGGGTTCTGAGGGCCTGGGGTGGTGCAGTGGTCTGTTGGGTACCACCTCATGCCCTCATAATTTTTTATTTCTTTTTTAAAAAAATAAAAAAACTGACCTCGACGTCGTGCAGGCACTGCAGGGCGTTTTTGGGCTACCAGCGTGGGGCGGGCTGATTGTGGAACGATTATAAAGAGGGCCGTTTCACTCGGCCGCACTCATTTGCCACACGAGCCGAAACTCGGAAGGCGATGAACGCGTGCTGTGCACGGCGTCCACGCGCGCGCACCTGAGAGAGAGAGAGAGAGAGAGAGAGAGAGAGAGAGAGAGAGAGAGAGAGAGAGAGAGAGAGAGAGAGAGAGAGAGAGAGAGAGAGAGA